CGCAGTGCCAGGGCCCCGCCCCGGCAGCGCAGCGAGGCAGGAAGCTGCTTGGCCGTAGGAGACAGGCCTCGAGGGCCCATCTTCACAGAAAAGAAACAGCCTGTGGCCAGTGGGCAGACAGGTACAGGAAGGGGAGGGCAGGAGAGCTGTGTGACAGCAGCGCATTCTCTAGGGCCTAGCGAAGGGGGTGGAGACAACTAGAAAGGCCTCGGCCCATTTAAAACAACAGCCCAACAGGCAGGCGGGCGGCAGTAAGACCTGGGCAGTAGGGGAGGGCCTGTAAGCTGCAGGGGCCTCAGCCTGGAGGACCCGGGAGGGATGGGGAGGATGACATAGCCTGCGATCGATCAATCAATCAATCAATCAATCGCTGCTCGGCGTCCCCGCCCTCAGACACCGGCTCTCGACATGCATTAAAGGTCTTGTTTCCGCCAGGCCGCATGTCTCTGAGCCGTTGCTTGAATTCGGACAGATTGGGGTGGGGGCGCGCCCCGGTTCTCACAGCAGGGTTCCAGGAACCCCGTTGCTCAGTGACTCGGCCAGAGACCCCGAGTGGAACTGTCACAGTTGCGGGGTGATCCGTGCTGGATACACTTTTGTTCTCTGCTGGAAACTGTGTTCAGGAGACAATGCTTTTCTGTTGTAGCCACTCCTCCCAGGCTGGGAAGCAAGTGGCGTTGGCCTCTGACGGGGCTGAGCTGTGGGCTTTTTTCAGCTACCTCCACGCGCCCCCACAGAGGTGGGGCCAGAGGCAGAGCCGCCCTGAAGTTGAATGGTGGCGGGAAGGGCTCCCATCACCCGTGCACTTCCCAGCACTCCCTGGAAACGCAGCAGCAGGCCTGGGAGGAACAAAGCACCTCAGTTGGAACAGGGCTGCGGGCCTTCCCCGGCCAGTGCAGGGGCCGCAGGGGGCGGGACAGAGATGAGAATCAAGCAGCTGGAGGCTGCGCCCCAGCAGCGGTGCATTCTCGGTGAATTATCTTATTTGTTAAATTCTGCTTTCTCATAGAGTCCGACGTTTTCTCATCGGTAGGTCGCAGCCCATTGGTGAAACGTGAAACCACCTTCAGAACTAAGTGCTTTAAGGTGCCCTTGAGCCGGGTGCATGGATGTTCGAGTGGGAAGTGGGCTTCACGGAACTCCTCAGCCACCTGTTCGATGGCAAAGCTCATTTCCTACTGTCGGTCATGACCAAAAACATGAAAAACACGAACTGTCGTGTCCTTTATGGTAGAGGAGGGTTTTTTAAGCCATCGTTTATCATCCATTTATTTCTACTCTATTCACGGGGCATGGCCTTCGCTAGGGGAGGTTGGAGTCAGGAGCCTCTCAGAGGTTTTATTATAAATTCCTTGAGCTCACAGGGCGTGTGTGACATCCATGCTCATCTTATGCCCGCCCTGCGGTCCCAGGTCATGTGCTCTGGGTACCCGGCCCTCCGCTTCCCAGGGACAAGGGCGCCACCTGCTGGGGGAATCGTGTCTTTGTTGGGAGAGCGAGCGAGCGACCAACCATGTCCTGACTCCTGGCAGAACGTGCAGATGGCATTACAAAGCCCCGGGGACTCCTGGGCGCCCTCCCCGCCTCCCGTCCGAGGAGGGCCGCCGGCTCCTCGGGCGGGAGGGCGGGCGAGTCCAAGTCCAAGTCCATCCGTCCTTCCGGGTTTTCCATGGAACTGGGTTTGGGGTTTCGAGTTTCAGCTCCTCCTCGAAAGCCATCCCCTGAGCCCTCCCTCCCGATCCTCCAAGATGGAGCCTCTGGCCGCGCAGCCCCTGCGCTGCTCGGGGCCGAGGGCCAAGGTGCTGGCGGTGCTG